GGGACAGGAACACCTCCCCCAGTGCAACCCCCGGCTACAAACCCCCACCGTACAGCACCGGGGACACAAACACCCCCCCCCCGACACGCAAATAGCCCCCCCGGACATCCCAATTCCTCCTGGAGACACAAAGAGCCCCCTAGGGCACTCACGAGAGAAACAGCCTCCCAAGGGGACACCCCAAACGCCCCCCGGGACACCCACACCCCCTCCCCGGGACCTCACCCCCCCGGATACCCTCTGGGGGCACCGCACCCCCCTCGCTGCATCGGGGCACCTTCTGCGCTGCTCCGGGGACCGGAACCCCCCCGGCACCCTCCTGTGGTGTGGGAGAGGTTGGGGACACTCCTCGGAAGGGTCCCTGCACCCCCACACCTGGCACCCCTCTGTGCTGCACTCCTTTGCCACCCCCCAATGCTGCACCCAGGGACAAGGACCCCCCTGCCACCCCCCTGTGCTGCACCCACGGACAGGGGCATCCTCAGTCCCTTCAAATTACGCCCACAAAGTAGGGCACCCCCTCGCATCCCTCAGACCCCTCTGCACTATTTTAGGGGACAATGGCACCCCCCAGGCACCCCAATTCTCCCCCCGCCCCCTTCAGATACACTTGGGCACAGGGATCAGGGATGGGAACAGCCTCGGACACCCAAAGACAGGACCCCCCTGCACCGGCACAAGGACGCTGCTGGCAGGGGAGTGGGGGCCCCTGAGCCCCCCAGCCCGCACAGGTCACGAGTGGGGCAGAGCTCAGCCCGGCCTGCACCTTGGGGGGGGGGGGGGCAGAGCAGGGGGGTCACGTCCCTCTGTCCCCGCGGGCCACCACTGGCTGTGGGGAGCAGGGTCGGGAGCAGGACCCCCCTCCCGGCCTGGCGACCCCGTGGGAGCCCCTGACCACGCGTGTGTGCGACTGTTCCCCCCGCCCCGTGTGACGCCAGCGGGGGCTCGGAACAGACGCGCTCGGTGCGCGCAGCGGCTGCGCCGGGGCCGATGGCTGCGGCACCGCGGTGACTTCACCGCCCGCCCCGCGCATTGGCTGCGCCCGGCACCGCCACGGCACCTCCGGACCCCCCCGTCACTACCACGGCACCCCCGGACCCCCCCGGGCC